AATAAAAGAAATGCTGAGAATGAAGAGTAAAACAAATCTTTTGGAAGGGCGGGGGAAAAAAAGGACCAATCCCGATGGGGGGGGTGGAGAGATCTTTTGAAAAGGCTTCTTTAGAATAGGGCAGTTGAATTGGTTTTTAAAGGATGATACTGACAATGACAACAATGAACATGTGTTAGTTAGATGCTCTTCGATGCTGCCTAGTGGTGGTCTGAGGCTGGAATGAAAGATAATTTGGGAAAGGTAATTTAAATCCAAGTTATGTTAAGTCTGGAATTACACCTAGGGACTCAGCAATAGATATGCAAACCTTAGCAGATCTTGACTGGCAAAATCTGCCAGACAAAAGTCACTGTTCTCCTCATCCTATATGATTATTTGTCTATTCTTCTTAGCTGAGTATTTTAAGCTCTCTCAGATGCCATAACACAACTACCTCCTACCCACAGCTTCCTAGTGAGTTTAGTGGCCCTTCAAATATCCCATCTGTCACAATGAACAGTCATAAAGAATACACAATATTCCAACTATATCAACCCCACACTTTTACATAAGAGTAGGAAAAGAGGTTTTGTTTTTGTGATTTGTGGTAGTGGTGTCAGAATTTCCTAGGAGAGGGTTCGGTTACCTCTTAGAAAGTATTAATAGTCTTTGTAACCTAAAACTCATTCTGTCCCCATGCCTTCCAAAATTTTCCATTTGGTTCTACCTTCAGTCAGTGAGTCAGTACTTCAGTCAGTGGATACTTCCCAGAATACCCACAACACACACACACACACACACACACACACACACACACACACACCCTCTTTTGGATGGTAATAGTGCATTTAATTGTTCAGTGTCAGCTATTCAAATCCCTCAGGTGCAGATAGGATTCATTAACATCCCAATGATGGCTCTCTTATCTAACCCTTTCCTGCTATGCAAAGGAAAAGTCTATTTAAATCCATTAATTCTCTGAGAGAGCCTCCACCAGATCATTTATAAAGATGCTAAGTAAGATGGATAATACCACTAATTCTTAAGAAATGAAGCCTTCACATTCTCATTTATCTTCTCCATTCACTTCCTCTCTCCAGGCTGACTTTCAGTTTTCAACAAATCCCACCCATTTCCCTGTCTTACTTCCATTGCAAATCGTTAGGAAAAATGAAAATGTCAGCCCTTGGTCCCCTTTATCTGCATTTTCTGCTTGGAAGAATTCCAGCAAAGCAAAATTTCATTTTGCAAAACACCACCAATGTACTGTTTTTTCGCTTGGTAATCCTACCATTTATAAATTCGCTTGGTAATCCTACCATTTATAAATTGCTAGCTTAGGTGCATAAGAAAGAGAAAGTTAAGGCAAATTCCTTCTCTGGGAGTCAATTTTCTTATCTGCAAAAAGCTCTGCACCACAGACCTCTGAAATGGTTAATGAGCAATTCTCAGAGGCCCTACCTAACTCAGAGCCTATAGGTTCATAATCAATTCAGTTCTGCTCCAGCCCAGTTCGAAGGCGCCTTTTCCGCACACTATGGATCCTTTGTGACAGGCTTCTGAGGCTCCAAAGCTATCATGGGTTTATGTAGTTTGGCCAATAGTTATTCAGTTTTATCCTCAAATGTCTTAACAGTTCCCAGATGTTTTACTCATATTTTTTTTCTGCCTTAAATCTTTTCATTAACCAAGCAAGGTAGTACACATGTGCATGCATATATTTTTTTCAGTGGAACTTGCAGCATTTTAGATATGAATCTCTCTTTGATGTAGTAACTCACATATATACAGTTGGGGGATCATTTATGCATTTGATCGGTGAATAGTTTTGAGCATCTACTCTGAACCAAACACTTCTAAGATACAGTGCTGAATAAAACTGTCTTAAAGTACCTGCTCCCAGGAAAGTTAGATTGTAGAATAAAGAGTATGCAGGTTGGGGGCAGGGAGCTATTTTAGTTAAGGTGGTTAAGGATATCCTCTAAATTAACTAATATTTGAACAGAGCAAGGAATGCAATATGTAAGTAGGCTATGCTGATATCTCTAGAGGGCGAGGGAATGGGGGGGGCAGTAAATGCAAAGGCCCCGAGGTGGGAATCAGAGAACAGCAAGGAACCAGTGTAACTAAATCAGAGTGATGAAGGAGAGTATAGTAGGACTTAGAGAGTAGGTAAGCGCGATATCAAGAATGACTCTCTTTACCATAATAATGACTTTGAACTTCATTCTGAATGATGTGGAAAACCACTAGGCAGAATTCCATTTCAATCTGCATTTTTCTGCCTTAAAAAAGGACCAAGGCTGAAAATCAACTCAGTCTGTACACCACTTTTTTAAAAGGATGAATACTTTTTTTTTTTTTAAGATTTATTTATTTTAGAGAGAGAGGGAGTATGTGAGAGGCAAAGGGAGAGAATCCTCAGACTCCCCACTGAGCAGGGAGCTCAACATGGGGTTGTGATCTCAGGACCCTGAGATTATGAACTGAGCCAAAATCAAGAGTCAGATGCTCAAATGACTGAGCCACTCAGGTGCCCCTCTTTTTTTTTATTTTTTAAAGTAGGCTCCATGCCCAACATGGGACTTGAACTCACAACCCTGAGATCAAGGAGTGCACACTCTACCAACTGAGCCAGCCAGGTGTCCCAGTATATACACCATTTTATTTCTCCCATGGAGCATACTCTTAATTGTATGATAATAATCTGATGTAGAGGTCGGCAAACATTTTCTGTAAAGGACCAGATAGTAAATATTTCAGACATTTTGTTCTGTGTAGTTTCTGTTGCAACAACTCAACTTTGCTATTAGAGTGCATAAGCAGCTGTGGACAAAAGAATATGGAACACCAAGAAAACTTTATGGACGCTGAGGTTTGAATTTCATTTTTGTACCATAAAATACTGTTTTTCTTCTGATTTTTGTTCCAACCATTTAAAAATGTAGAAACCATTCGTAGTTCACAGGCCATACAAAAATATGCATTGGGCCAGATTTGGCCCACAGGGCATAGTTTGCCAAACTCTAACTCAGCCATAACTTGTTAAGATAATTAGGTTTTTATCTCTAGGCTACTGAAAGAAGAAATGAGAAATTATGGCAGAAAGAGAGAAAAGAATCCCATTTGAAATCTCTCAAGCAATGTATTTATATATTTAAGACAAACATATACACGAAAATGTATTGAAATCTTTTTTTTTTTTAAGATTTTATTTATGGGCACCTGGGTGGCTCAGATGGTTAAGCGTCTGCCTTCAGCTCAGGTCATGATCCTGAAGTCCTGGGATCGAGTCCTGCATCGGGCTCCCTGCCCCTTGGGAGCCTGCTTCTCCCTCTGCCTTTCTCTCTCTCTGCCTCTCTCTCTCTCTCTCTCTGTCTCTCATGAATAAATAAATAAAATCTTTAAAAAATAAAAAAAAGATTTTATTTATTTATTTAACAGAGAGACAGCGAGAGAGGGAACACAAGCAGGGGGAGTTCGAGAGGGAGAAGCAGGCTTCCCACGGAGCTGGGAGCCCGATGCAGATGCAGGGCTCAATCCCAGGACTCTGGGATCATGACCCAAGCCGAAGGCAGAGGCTTAACGACTGAGCCACCCAGACGCCCCTGTATTGAAATCTTCCTCTTTTTTTTTTTTTTTTTAAAGATTTTATTTATTTATCTGACAAAGAGAGACACAGCGAGAGAAGGAACACAAGCAGTGGGGTGGGAGAGGGAGAAGCAGGCTTCCCGCAGAGCAGGGAGCCCAACACAGGGCTCGGTCCCAGGACCCTGGGATCATGACCTGAGCTGAAGGCAGACGCTTAACAACTAAGCCACCCAGGCACCCTGTATTGAAATCTTCTTAACTGAATATAATATTAAGTCTTTATGACCAGATTATATATAAAATAGGAAAAAAATAGCTTTTGAAAGTAATCTGAAAATGACATCTATGTTTTAATAGCTCAGGAGTAAAACACAAGGTATATTCAGAAATTAAGCTTTAAATGTGGATTTTTTTCAGGAATCTAAAGCAGGAGTGGACTTTACTCATAGGCAATAGAGGACAGCCATCATCTTTCCAGGGCAATGGACAAGTTCTAGCACTGTTAGAGAAGACAATTAGGTTCTAACAGGATACCTGGAGGTCAGCAATGAGGAAGTCATGGCCTGCTATTAGGAAGGTCAGAGGCCTGTCCCAGAAGCACCCCATAAGAGGCCAGATCTAACCAGACAGGCTCAATGATGGTTGCCATGACAGGAAATCCCTGACCAAATTAGGAAGAAAAAGCAAGAAACTCCGTTTCCTGCCCCAGGTAATAAATATTCTGCCCCCTAGTTAACAGCTGTCAATAAAAGATAGACAGCCCCTCCCCTAGGGCACACAGCTCTATCCTTGGAGCTCACTCATATCTCAAGAGCGTACCTTTTGCTTTAATAAACTTTCCCACTTGTGTTACTCATCCACGGTGTTGTGTCTGTCCTTGAATTCATTCATGTGACAAGATCAAGCACCTTTGGGGACTCCTTCAGTTCTGGCTGGGTCAAGGCCCCAGGGCCCAGGGACTCCCCAGTTCACCCAGCAACAGCACCTTCCCAAATACTTTTCACCACCAGCTTCATGATACCTGAAGTTTTTTTAAACAGGATGAATCCTTTTATTCCATAAATATAAAGTTTAAAACAGAGTTAAGTTTTAACAGGTAATAATAGGTATGCACACTATGTGATATCTGAAAACTTTCCAGTATGTGCATTTACACGCATAGTTTTAAGGGATGTCAACATCCTTATGTACCTCCATTTCCTAAAATTGATCTGTCCGAAACGTCTGACTCGCCGTTCGTATAAAAGAATGGCATACCCATCTCCTTCTCCACCCCAAATCTCACTACAGTGCTTGGCTCAGGAATGTAAACACCTATGATGAATCAAACAAAGAAATATTCAAGTTTTTTGTTCAAGGAAATCCCTGGCAGTGATTAAGGCATCTGTATCGTATACACATTTCTGTTAAAGGTGAAGTTCTGAAAGGTGTCTGGCTGGCTCCACAGAACACGTGACTCTTGATCTCGGGGTTGTGAATTTGAGCCCCATGTTGGGTGTAGAGATTACTTAAAAATAAAATCTTAAAAGAAAAAAGGTGAAGTTCTGAGAAATAGGGTGTTTGACCCGTGTTGAAGCATTGAATTCACAACAGAAAGTAAGGGTAAATGTTGATTCTTACTCTTTAAACAGAAATAGAATGCTTTGTGAAGCTACCAAAATTTTGAGATATATTGGATAAAACCCACAGATAAAAATGTAATATTGCTTCTTTAGGTGGAATATGCTTATTCAAAAAGTAGTTTAGACCCGTTTCATCAAATCTTACCTTCCGTCATTGATTCCAATTATAATCAATCATCCTATTTCATCTTATAAAATATTTAATAGTCTGTATGTTCTATTAACAAGAAACAAACTTATTTAAAAATATATGATAACAATTTAGCTGTTAACTTAAAAACGAGCAGGAGGGTACACAGATTTTCATATTTATTTTAAGGGATAAATGAACAAAAATGTTTGAAAACAATTGCTCTAGAGAACTGGGAGGGGCCTTTGGTTCCTACAGGGAGAACAAGAAGACAGGGAGAAGGGGAGACCTTGGGAAACTTGGGGGAGAGCACAAAGAGGTTGCCGAAGAATCCAAACACACACATTTACTTTGCAATTTTCCAAAACGAGCAGCTCTAATGCCATCTGCTAAATCTAGATCTACCCTCTTCCCACCCCTCCATTTGAGATTGGGCAAAAAGAAAGGGAAGTGGAAATCAGCTTTATTGAGGTTCCCTTGGGCAGAGTAACAGTTTAGGATTGGCTAGTTTGAATAATTCCAGCTCCAAATGTATAGAAGTGATCTCTGGTTGTCTGTACCTGGCCCTGGGATGATTTAAGCAGGGAAAATATTGACTTGGGGGGTAAGAGTCAGACAAGGAGCTGGTTGGAGCTACAGATTTCGGATTGTTCGGTTTGCATATGAAGTGCTCCCAGCCCAGGCTTTGCTATCTCTAAGAATTGGCTAGCCCTGGGAGGGACAGTTTCTCCCAGGCTAGCAAGCTTTGTAAGATGTCAAAATATCACAAAGTAGAGAGAAATTTAAAAAAATGATTACTGAAATTATTTGTTCATATTATTTGCTCACTTCTTAATTGAATTGTTTGTCTTCTTACTACTGAGCGGTCAGAGTTCTTCATAAATTCTGGATAATAGAGCTTCATCAGATTTATGTTTTGCAAATATATTCTCCCACCTGTGACATGTCTTTTTGTTAACGATTAGACAATTTTTCTTTTTTTTTAAAGATTTATTTATTTTAGAGAGTTGGGGAGGGGCAGAGGGAGAGAGAGAGAGAGAGAGAGAGAGAGAATCTCAAGCAGACTCCCCACTGAGCACAGAGCCCAAATCGGTGCTCGACCCCATGACCCATGAGATCATGACCTGAGCCAAAATCATGAGTGGGACACTTAACCTACTGAGCCACCCAGGTGCCCCTGGATGATTGTTCTTAAAGTCACTGGATCTTTCCTTAGTATAAAATTGCTTAATTCATTATTCTTAATCCTGATTTACACATTGGAACATTTGCACAATGAATATCTTTGCCCTTCCCCTCCAAAGATTGTGATTTCATTTGTCAATGGACCCCTCCCCCCCTACCAATTGTTTTTTTCAAGATCCTTAAGTCTTTACTTGCGTAGCCAGAATTGAAAACTACCATGTTAGGGAAGGCATGTAACAAGACTCTCAGAGGCATAGTTGAAGAGACTGACTTGTTTGATGTTCTCTCTTCCCACCAGTCAATAGCCCAGCCACCTGGTCGGGTCTCTTGCATATCAGGACCTGGTAACTTCTCCTCTGGATGCCTTCTTAGGTGCCAAGTCAAGTGTTTGGCACTTTTATGTATATTATCAAATTAATTCTCCCAAGAACTCTGAGGGAGTAGACATAATCCCCTCTCCAAGCAGATAAAGGAAATAAGGTTGAGAGAGACCAAGCAAATCAATTACAAATACACAGTTAATAGGGGGTAGGGACAGAAAACTTGAACTCTGTATTCTGACTCTAAAATCCATGTTCTTTCATCTCTCCCTCAATTTCACAACCACGAGGCCTCACTGGGTTGCGTCAGTGCTTTTCATTACATGATGTCGTTCTTCATCGGAGAACACCATCTCATGTCTTAGGGCTTGCAGAAAGAGCAGGATATTTGAAGTGGAAAGGAAGGCCATGGCTTCATGCAAAACTTCTTCAATAATTAATTCCCCAGTGCCTTTGAGATTTACTAAAGCAGACTTCTCACAAGAAGCCTGTGACTGTTAAAGGTGAAAAAGAAGCAGTGAGCCCCAGAAAATTTTCATGTTTAAGAAATTCACCCTCACTTCTAAAACTAGGCTACTGGGAGGGGAAAACTTTTCATTAAAAAACTCTTTCTAACCCAGAGGAAGGAAAAAACTTCTATTAAGTAGAAGAGAAGGACGTAGATTTGGAGACAGCCTCCTAAAGTATTCCCCAGGGTCTCCTATGGCATTTTCAATTTCTGTCAAGAAAGAAAATAGGGAGAAAAAGAGATCAAATTGCTTTGAAGCCTCTCATTTAGAAAAATCTACTAAGGTCTTTAAGACTATAAATTTGGCAAAGAAAGAATAACGTCTTTTTCAAATTCTCCTAAATAATTTTCCAGAACCGCTAAAACCTTCACAAAGACTCTAAAATCTTTAGAGCTCTGTTGACCAAGAAAGAATTCACTGACAATTTAAGCAAATAGGCATATATTTGGGCAATTACAATTGCAATCTGGGAGATAGAAATTCCGGTAGAAATCTGGATCAGGTTCCCAGGAAGACAAAGAGGGGGCAGAATTGTATCGGCAAAAGGCTACGCATATAGTTCTCATTCAAGCCTCCCTTTGGTATTGAAAAACAAACCCATCCTAGACTTTATGACAAAGCAAATACAAAGAAGATTCAGTGTCTCTTTTTAGCTAACTTATCAGTTTGGGTAATTGATGGTCAACCATAGTCTAATATTAGAATCATATAAGGGAATTTTAAAAATATATGCATATGCCAGGGCTCATTTCCAGACATTTTGATTTAGTTGGTCTGGTATAAAGAATTAGCACTATTAAAAAAAAATCCTCCCAGGTGATTCTTTCAAGTTATCCTCGTGAATGTAGCAGAGGTAATAAATCAATGGTTGCAAAGAATTGAGGATATGTATTAAGAAACTGTTAAGGCCAGGGAAAGACAAATACCATATGATTTCACTCATATGTGGAATTTAAGAAACAGAACAAATGAACATGGGGGAAGGGAAGGAAAAATAAAATAAGATGAAAACAGAGAGGGAGGTAAACCATAAGAGACTCTTAATCATAGGAAACAAACTGAGGGTTGCTGGAGGGGAGGGGGGTAGGGGATGGGGTCACTGGGTGATGGACATTAAGGAGGGTGCATGATGTAATGAGCACTGGGTGTTATATGCAACTGATGAATCACTAAATTCTACCTCTGAAACTAATAATACACTATATCTTAACTAAATTGAATTTAAATAAAATTTAAAGGACAAAAAACTATTAAGGCCAATTTGACAGAATAGTTTTATGCTGTTGAATTTTATGGTAAAATATGTTTTATTTTATTTTATTTTATTTATTTGTCAGAGAGAGAGATTGAGCACAAGCAGGGGGAGCAGCAGAGGGAGAGGGAGAAGCAGGCTCCCCGCTCAGCAGGGAGCCCGAAGTGTTGCTTGATCCCAGGACCCTGGGACCATTACCTGAGCTGAAGGCAGACCCTTAATTGACTGAGCCACCTGGGCGTCCCGATGGTAAAATATTTGACTTGTATTTTATTTGCTTTTATTTTTATTTCTTTTTCTAATTAATTGATTTGTAATTTACTAACATATTGGTCTATAATCAAGTGAAATTTTAAAACTGAGAATCATTATTTAAAGGACTTAAATACCTTCAACGTGGATTTTAAAGATTTTGCTGAAAATACAGGAAAGACTTTTTCTAGCAGAAGGAGCAAATTATTTTTTCTTCCTGATGGAAGTAAGAGTTGATGTAATATCAGAAGGGTCTTGAGAAATTAACTATACAGAGAAGTGTAGACAATAGCATGAGCAAAGGCCCTGTAGTCATACAGACCCCAGAGGGGGTCCAGAGGGCAGCAAGAGAAAGTGGTCAGGATGTTTATCCTTGCCATGTGGAAGTGGGTTAGCTTTGTGCCTCTCTGGAAGGCCCCAGTGCTGTCAGATGCGCCCTCCATGCCCTTCCTTCTGCATGTATTATCTGCTCCCTTTACTTACCTCTCAAGTAAAGGGGTCGCCAACCATTACCCACTTTCCTTAAATCCTACCCACATCTTAAATTCTTGCCAAATTACCCCATTTAAGGTTGATGTCTGTTCCAAACAGGACCCTGACAAGCACAATCTCCACATTTTAATACTTAAAAAAAAGACAAAACCTATACATTTCCCAATTTCCTTATTTGCTTGAATGCAAACATGAACTAGATTCCACCAATCAGATGCAACCTTCTGGGATTTGCATTTGGACCTGAGTTTTGCAGGGATACAAGTAGCATACAGGGCATCCCGTTCTGCTGTCATAGATTATTGTAGAGGGAGGGTGTCAGTGAAGTTCATTCAGGGAAGAGGAACCACTATGAGTACACGAAATAAGGATTTATTGTAGGAATTGGACAGTTCACAATTGGAAGAAGGGCCGGGGCAGTAAAGATCCCCTCCAACACTGGAAGATCAAGGAAAAGGCCAGTGGTTCTGTAGTACTGGGACAGGTGAACAAGTCAGACCTTGTGGGAAGCCGGGCACATCCAGCTGCTGGAATGGGACCCTGAAAGGCTGGTGTTGAAGTCTATGGAAAGCTGTTCCCTCACCTTGGCTGTCATCTCTGGGTTCACAGCAAAGAATTTGATGGTGGGCCTGCGATTGCTTTGCTGTTGGTCAGAACTGCCAGCTGTGGGGCAGGACTGGGAATGGGGCCAGAAAGAATAAGTACAAACTGGATCCCTCAGCACCTCTGTGTCCGTTTCTCACGT